GGCGGCATTCAGTGAGCAATTGTCATGACATTTCCAATTATTCCGGTGTCGGCCGGCGTCGGATAGTCCAAAACGAACTTCGTCCATATCGTGCTGTGCCAGTTACGTCCACCTTGCTTGACGGATTACGCGGATTACATGCGTCCTGCGCAAACTTCAACGATAGCACACTTGATAACATCGCGATGTAACATTAAAAACATATTCTTAGTGTGTTTGTCCTGCTTTTGAACGCTCTCGCGAGGAGAGAGAGAATGAAATTTCATATAATCTCCGATAAACATAAATATCCGATATGTCGACATAAAAATTAATTTGATGATGAACGTTTAATGAAAATGCGCATCTTTATATGTCTCTCTCTCTCTCCGGTCTCTCCCTCTCATAAATTATGTCCCTTTGTATGCCCGAAAATCGCAAGCTTGGTATAACGAATGGGTTAAGCTTCCGTAATGAAAACGCTCGATGTTTACACACGTAACTTATCGTACTGCTATTTTATGAGAATTACGTATCTCGCGATATTTAATTATAAACAACGTATGGAACTTCAATATATGTATCATCGGTAAATCCTTCAAAATTTACGCAAGCGCAACCTATCCAATCTTTCGTTGAATTTTTAATATAAGAAAAGTTGACTGCAAATCTGTCGAACAATCAGAACATTAAAATATTTCCTGAGAAACTCAGCATTGAAAAACATAATATTTATATCCTTTTTAGTAATTTTTATATATACACTTTTTTCATCATCTTCCATAAGTAAATATTAAATTAATGATAAATATAATATATATTTTACGAATATAATACAATATTAAATTAAAAATATAAACTATTTTTCATGATTAAATAATTGATTGACGATATTGATTCCAGTGAAATAGGATCGAACGATAAGATAACATATTTTTTTTTTTAGCAACGATGGTTCGGATATTTGATTTCAATTCAGTTTATTGCATTTCAATACGTACGTACATCCGCATAGAAATCGACGCGGCAACTGGCGCGGTGAATACGCTGATAACGTCGCGAGCAATGACGGACGCCCAAGACTCGTAGGATCCGCCGTGAAGGCGAGAATCCTGAAGGTGACTGTCGACGCGATATTGAAAATGGAAGCTGGCACTCTCTCCCGCGTGTCATCAGCGCCATCGACCACCGATGAAGATGGAGCGAATCGAAGTGGTACCCCTCCCCGTGTGACCCGCGAAGGATTCGCCGAAGCCGAAAGCTGATATAAAAGATTTTTGCCAACTCAAGGAGGAAGGAGCTCGTAAATCTCGCCAGAAAACATGTGGTTCGATCATCAACGAAAATACAATCACTTGCGATCTTATAAATAAAAAAATAGTTAATGTCGGAATAATTTACATATATCGGCTGAAATTGTGTTTATCTGGAAAAAATAATTTTCTTAAAAATATTTATTTTGATATCAGTAACTGAAGAAGAAAAAACTTGATATTATTTTACCAATTGAAGATTGTGATAATCAAAATAATATGTTATTAGTAGTATTTTTTACATCTAGTTAGACATATTGAAAGGTCAATTTATTTAATTTCTTTGTTTGGTGAATTTATGATGAAATAAACTGCAGTCCCTCAGTTAAAATGCAAATTTCATTCCTGACATATATCGGAAATCTATGAAAAATGCCAAAGAATAATGCGACTGTAGTGCATTGGAATAAGAATAGCCGATGTCACGGCGCAATTTAAAAACGTAACGAAATATTGATTAATACATTCAATTTTTCACCATGAAGCCATAAAATAATATTAATCTTTTTCCATTTTGACTTGAATTTTTATGGATTTGATGTAAAAGTGCGGATAAAAATTTTACCGCTCTTTTTTTTTAAACGCAGATTGAACATATCGAAAGAGTATTGCGAGATTAAAGGAGGGGAGGGAAATGCGCATCATGGCTGTAAAGTAATATTTTTAGATACACGGAAAAGGGGATAGAAATATTACGGTTACAAGGATTGCAACATTAGGCGAGTGCATTACGTTTGCATTTGTAATTATTATTTATTATATTAATCACGATTATACCATCGTGCGACGTATTTTTGCAATAGTATTCGTGTGCTCAGTGAGATATGTCGTTAATTAACGTTTCCAAAAGCAAAAAATACAAATAACAAAATAAATCGAGAAAAATTGCGAACTTAATGATGTAACGCAGCGTGCGAGAGAATTTTGTGTCAATATTCGCGCAGACAAACATTGGTAACGCTATTTTTTCGCGTTGTAATAAAAAAAAGAAATATCTTTTTTTTCTCTCGCCGCGACTCGTAACTTAAACAGACAAGGTTGAAACGTACTCCGCAAAAATCTCGTAAATTCCCTCGATTCAAAGAAGTACTGTAATACTATTTCGTACGATCTCGCCTTCAACCCTCGGAAAAGGGCTGAACAAAGTATCGGAAGTGAAATAAAGAAAGCGGCGGGGCAATAATAAGACCGCCGGTTAAAAATAAGAAGTACCACCGAAATTAATTACGCCCTCAACTAATCCCTTCGAGCGGCCTCTTTCTTTTAATTCTCGGCAGACAAAAGAATCGACCCTTTAATACTCACAGAATTTTTACCCGTATACACTATTACATAATCAACTTAGAAACTCAGTCAAAGAAACGTCGCGATTTCTATCTGCGCGATTCTTTTGCTTTAGAGAAATTCGCAGCGATATCTCGCACAACAATAAACATACCGGAAAAGAACAGAAAAGGATTAATTAAACAATTAAAAAAATAACAATAGTGAAAACAATTAAAAGTATTAAGTCTGAAAATTAAAATCTAAAAAATTAGTAGAAATACAATTAATTCAATAGCCTCTTATAGGAAAAGAAGTATTAAATATAAGTCCACTTTTAAGCGTATAAACACTTAAAGATGGATTATATCTGCTGAAAACGAGTCTTATTTTATCCGCAAAACAGAAATTCATTCTGATATTTCACTCGATTTACATTATAATATAGCTGAAATGCAGATAATTTTATTTATTATAACATTTTTAAGAATAAAATTGCAAAATTCGACTCTTTAGCAGACTTCGCAAAACATAAGCTAAAAAAGATTCCATGGCAAAATATTTCTTCTACGCGACAAAATAAGGTAGAAAGCAGGTTTGTATCTACACCACAAATGAAGTGCAAATGAGGTGGCTCGTCACTCTTGCCGATCCTTGACACTAAAATCGCCGATGGCATCTTACTAGAACTGGCTGAAGGTACTATTTTAGTAATTGGTTTCCTATCCTTGTCTTCGGTTAGTAAAAACAGTACAGTATTTATTATTTATATCATAGAATACCTGTATTACATTCATATATTATTTTAATATTCTGTACTGTATATCTAACAAAAATAATGAAATGATTAGCGGAGCCAAAATAGCACCATCAGCGATTTTAGTATTAAGGGCTAACCGTCAGCTGACGAATCCTCCTTAACGCTTTCCATCGGCGTTTCCGAAAAGCCCGAAGCCTGGTTACTTATTGCGGCTGCGGCTGCATCCCGCTGTAGAGGCGGAGATGCGAGGGGGGTAGGGGGGTGGTTTGGACGCGGCGTGCCCGAGTAAATCACGGTGGATTTAAGTGGATCCTACAAACTCTCTCGCGCCGGGGCTACCCCTGACGATGTATCGTCCTGGGTAGGGTCGTTGCGGCACCACCGCCACCGCAGCGCGGATATAACCGAGTAAGAGATTCAGAGGCGAGCGAGAACGGCCGGCGAGGCAACATCCGTTGCGTCTTACGGCCGCGGCTTACAACGGAACTTCGCCGACTCGAGAAAAGCTCATAGACAGAGTAACGGATTATTTGTCGAGGGCCTAGGGCCTGATACATAAAAGGGCCTCAAGGATAGATTACATAAAGTTTATCGTAACACGTGGAACTCTCTTTTGATTGAGGGCAACACATGAATTTCAAAGCAATCGGAAACAAATTTAATCCGACATTATAGAGACAGTAATTAAAGAAATATAGACATCGATAAATTTACATTCTTCATCATGTGCTACATGCATCTTGATTCGAAACACGGGATAATTGAAAATATGAATTAGGCATTTTTAAAACGCCATATGTCAATTTGTTTTATATAATTTTGAATTGTTATAAAAAATAATAATTTTACATAGCCGAGAGAGGAAAAACACCAATGAATGGCAATGTAAACTCTTTACTTTCGCCTAAAGGAATGTCTGAAATGTCTGTTATAAATGACAGAAATGTCGATGGTTCAAATAAACATCCTATAAAATATCGCACACGACTCTTTTATATCCGCCATCTAGTCATAACTATCTCCATATTTACATCATATTCCGCAGCAAATATTCGAGCGTTATTCTCGTAACGGTTCAGTACACCCGCTGTCGTCAGAACAAACAATATCGCGGAGGAAAGTTGTTGTACGACATCGGGAGTTTCTGGCTTCCTCATGAAAGTCGGTGCGGTTGAAAGTGACGCCTGCGATCGTCCCTTCGATTCATCCGTTTCCTTGGTCTTTCAATATCATCTTTTTTCTCGTCACAACGGTATGACGCGACTCTCTCGTCGTTACGACGGTCCATTTCGTTTCCTTCGTTTCGTCTCGGGTCTTTCATCAAATTATGAGAACCGCCGTAGCTCTCCTGTGCTCGGAAATACCATGACTTCCGGATGATATCGCGAGAAAGTCGAGAATGATAAACGCCACAAGAATGATCAGAATTTTCCGCCCAAGACGAGACGCTGAAATAGCCTCTCTCTAGCTTATCTAGATAGTTGATTTAACTTGGGATCTTACTACTTCGATTATCGTCGAATCATAAACATGCATTAAATAATAACAACAAAATTATTTCTTACGAAGTTAGGATTATACTTTGTGTGAATTCTTATATTCAAAATTTGCTTCAAGATGTCTCGAACGACCAAAGTGAATTACGAGGACCATGCAAATACGAAGAGGAAGGAAGACTCACTCACATAAGCAAAGTTGCAGGACCGCGGCGAAGAGGGCTGCGAGTTTCCGCGCTGCCATGAGAGTCGACCAGTTTTCTGATGAGTCTTCGGGACACCAGTCGGCGATCTGGAAATGGAGAGAGAAATATTTTTCAATAAATGTGCAATAATTGTCGATAGTCATCAACGCTAACAAATGAAAAGCTCAACATTGAAATGTATTGAAATAGTTTTCAAAATATAAAATATTTGTCAATATAACTTGAATAGAGCGTAATAATAATTGTGTACAGCTTCAGGTTTACCTGTGTGCTTATGAGTAAGCACGAGAAATTTGTTTCTTTTATTAATTCGCATCATACGTCGTTTGTATCAATAAGTTGAATCAGTCGGAAGAAAACTTATTCACCTCAGCTTCTGATTTATTTGTACGCTTGTAAGTAAACACGTGAAAGATTTGTTTCTTGTTCTAATCCCCATCACACATCATTTGTTTCCTGTTTTTTTATTTTATTCTTTTTTGACTTGAAAGAAAGAGAGAGACAGAGAACGTCAATTTTAATTATCGTTCATTTTAACTCTTTCGATACCCTTCGTAAAGGGGGAAAGGATTGACGAGGGAGAAAAGGGGAGTAGCCGTAAGAGGGTTCAGTGGAAGCGGAGAGGAAGAGGGAGCGAGAGATCGAAAGTAGCTTCGAAGCAAACTAACCACAACGCTACGGGTTCGCCGACTGTAATTAATGACCACCTCGTAGTTATCCTATCACCAATTAAGGGAGTTACGTTGAGAGAGGCGTCCCCTCGTTATTCCAAAATGGTTAAAGATCACGAAAGCATCGTACGCGTGCATTCGTGCGCGATTCGGCTCTTACGAACGGGCGCATATGAACAATGAAGCGTAAAAACCGATTAAACATTAGCAAAGAACACGCAAGGAGCATCCGCTGCAAGATTCCTTCTCGCAATATCAGCTAAAAATTAAAGAGGATAATAAAGAAAATATTTCCAAAAGAATTTTCTTGAATAGAAAAAGGAGCAAAAATAGACGTAGGAAAATACAAGAAGAAAGTATCTAAGAATATTAAATAAATAATAGTTGCATATTTTAAATTTAAATTAAAAAAAAAAACAAGAGTGTAGAAGAAAGAATTTATCTATTTTATTAGCAATTTTCCCATAAAGTTCACAATATAAACAACACAAACAGAATAAAGGTAAGCTTTCGCGAAGTTACAAGTTGTATACAAAGTGAAGTATATTTAATCTTTGTCGTACTTGAAGCTGTTTTCTAAGGTGGACTAATACTATTGGCACAATCCACATTTTCTTTTATCATATTACTGCTTTTTTTCAACTTTTCAAACACTATTTTGGAAGTAAACGCTATGAGACGAAAAACTTTAATGTTTCAAACTTTTCCAATCCTCTGACAAAACTTTTTAAAAACTTGTGTATCCGAAAATTGAATGTATATGTATATATATTGTACATACTGTAAGTCAGAAAATCACAATTATTACAATAAAATTCAATTGTTTAATATTAAATCATAGATGTATGTGTACATGTTTAACTATATGCATGTGATACGAAATTTTTGAATATCGATTTGTGATAAAAGAATGGATGAGTGTTCAGAGGGTGTCTTTTGTGGAATTCTTGCGTCAGATAACGCATCATTCTTTCTGCGTCCTGCGGCAGCACGCTTTTTCCTCGTCGACGGAACATCCGCCAACTCATTCCACGATGTCGATAAAACCGCGGATGAGGAATTTTTATTCCCTTGCATGTCACGCGATGAAAGAAAGTGTCGACGAGGCTATCGATCCTGCACTGGCCGCACCTGCTTCCAACGCAGATCAATCTGCGATCCACCATTACCTCCGAGATTTACAATTTCTAGCGATGCACTAATAGTGCAAGCAGAACAATGTACGTAAAAACAGGTGAATCGAGTCTTAGCGTGGAGAAGCATCTACTTTTCGCCCGACTTTATCTCGATTCGCTAACAATAGAATTAATTAAAATAAGAGAAAGAATGATTTTGCTAAAGTATTAAAAAATTTAATTAAATGCAAATCTAAAAACAGTTTGGTTGGATTATCAAAATAATTATTATATTATGTAGAACGCACAAGCTGATTGCTAGAATATAACAACTTTTTGCAGCATTGCTCGTCATGCCCGAGTTTCCTACATAATTATTTTATTTAGTTCAACAAAATTATTTTCAGATCTGTATCCAACTTAACTTTTAGATACTTCAACAAAATCATCCTTTTGTTACAATTCGCACATATAGACAGTAACGAAGAGAATAAATACAGCATTTTTACAAAATAACATTTACGTTGTTTCGTGTTTTCAGTCTACATTTGTCACGGAGGTATCGACTACAGATATTTTACAGGAAATCGTAAAAGAACTTTTCTGAAACACTTAAATGTAAGCGTTTTAAAATTAACAAGAAATTTCCCGCGTATTAGTTGCTTACACGGGCATGACGACGTTCCAAGGCTGACGAGAGAGAATCCAACTTTTAGAAGGCCTTCAAAATTCTATCGTGCATCCCATACAAGAGTAAAATTCGTTGTCCGCGTCGAGTTTGCATGAAAACGCGACGCGAACGAATAAGCGTCAGAACACGGAACGTGGCTGTCGCAACGCGCGCTCGACGTTTCGGTTCATCCACTAAACGAACACACACACACACACACTCTCTCTCTTTCTCTTTAGGCGGCCAATACAAGCCACCACGCACATCCATTCCGACAACGTCATCCCGCCAACGGTCGGCGATGCGACGCGATGCCCATAAAGCATCAAAACGACGCTTTGTTGCGGCAGCTTTATGGCGTAACGGCCGATGCGCGATGCGCGGTGGTGACGGATCGATTCGCTATTTGTCAGCAGTCATCTCGGAAGACAATCCAAACCTATATGCATCGAGGCGCGCCCGGAGGAAGAGGGCTGTGCCGAAGAAAAATGAAAGATGGAAAAGATGGAGAGCGGAAAGGGATGGTTATATGGGGCACACTCGGAAAGGCGCGATTGATTTATCGCAAAAAGAGGCCGCGGTAAGTGGACTATTTTTCAATGAATCGGTCGAGAACGGGGGAGCGAGAGAGAAAAGGTGAGGAGGTGCCCCGATGGAAAAATGGAATTTTTCCGTGGGAAAATGGAATTTTGAGCGCACCGAGAACCTCCGAGAGGAGGTACCAGCCTCAGTCATACGTGCCTCAGTCACCCTCCGGTGATTTTGCGGGTGTTTCGATACTCCCGAGAGCGGGACGACGGTGGTTATGGGGGGGTGGGATACGTGTACCGGTAGGGGGAACAGAGAGGCGTGGGGACGCACCGTAAGTTATGACTTTCGTCTCGCTCCCGCCATCGTTGCCGCACCGACGGTTCTATGAATGTATGCATGAGATACGAACTTTATGCTTTATGCATTGAACGCGTCGGTGATAAGAAGTCGCGCGCGTATGGCCAACGCGACTCCACATTTCGCGTTGGCGAGTACGGAGGAAAAGAGAGAAGGCGGACCCTCCTAGTTCTCAATCTAGATATAGATACTACTTTGATAATCGAAATGAGAAATATCCCAATATTGTTTATTGTTGTTGGTTTCAAGACTATAAGATAGTGAAGCGAAAAGTAGCATACTTACCTTCGATTATACAGTATAAATTACATTGTCGATCTATCGTCATACGATTATCATGTACTCAATGATTCATTACTTCTTACACGGAAAAAATATTTTGCTGAAGTATCAAAAAATTTTAGTTAGATACAGATTCGAAAATAATTGTATTGGACCAAAATAATGTAGAAATCTCATGATGAGCAATGTTGCAGAAAATTTTAATATTTTAGCAATCTGTTTGAGCGCGTTCCTACATAATTATTTTAATAGTCCAATAACATTATTTTCGAATTTGTACCTAAGTACTTAAATTTTTAGATACTTCAACAAAACCGTCTTTTCCATGTAGATCTATTAAAACAAATGCTGAAAGTGCCTCTCTTGTTCTACTATAAGAATCATATATGTGAAAGCCATATATATGTATATATAAATATCGTAAAGCAAATACGTATAAATATAACTGTCACATATATGATTTTTGCAGCACAACAGAATAAGGTTTTTCAGAACTTGCTTTTATTAGATCCAGGAGGTGAAATTATTGTCCACGGATATATACCACAATCCAAGACAATAATTATAGGCGATTGTTTTGTAATTATGTAAAACTTGTAAATTAAAAGCGATGAAAAATAAAATTTTAATTCGCAAAATCACTACAGAGACGGAATTGTATAACGAAGTCTTGTGCTTAACTTAATTTCATGTGATTTGATTTTAATCGGATTTTAAGTTGGAAGTGTTGCCACCGAGATATTTAATGCTGTAAATGACGGAGTTGCGAAAAATTCTAGCTGGATGGAAGATTCGAGTTGGTCTCAAGATATCCGTAATTGAAAAAAAAGGTACCATAGCTCCAAGACAATTTATACATCCACGATCGATCGCGTAGTCATGTCTGGAGACCAATTTCTTTGAATGCCGACTGCAAGCTGATAGCCGACTGTAAATAAAGGATCGAAGACGACGTTTAATAGAGACGCGAATACCTCCGCAAAGAGTACACAACGGCCAATATGGAGACTCGTGTCTTATCATACATCTTTGTATGTATACTGCGTGCTCGAGCACCGTCCCGTTATTCGAAGCCACAATTAATATCCTCGTGATCGAGTAATCATTTTTTCAAATATTACCACTCAGGATAAATTTATTAGATAGTGGATCAGCCCAAAAGAATGAAAAAATTATGCCATCAAAATGACTTCAAAATGGTTATTAAAAATCACTTTTCGATCAGTTACCATTTTAACGTCCAATCATTTTAATGTTAGCATAACCTGTTATTCTGCTTGGAAAGTAAAGATAAAAATTTTTGGATTACAGGAACAACCAATTAATTTTATCTTAAATCTATACTGTTAATTACTCAATTTTCCGATATTATATTTAACTCTTAAGCACTTTTTCGGTATAGCGTTCCCAGCTATCTTTTTTCAATGCCTTTCCAATGTTTTCCCCATTGCTTATAACTT